CTCCAATCTGGGCGACAGAGTGAGACTCCAACTCAAAAAAAAAAAAGAAAAGAAAAAAATTAGCTGGGCGTGGTGGCGTACACCTATAGTTACAGCTACTGGGGAGGCTGAGGCAGAAGGATTGCCTGAGTCCAGAAGGTCAAGGCTGTAGTGAGCTATGATTGTGCCACTGCCCTCCAGTCTAGGTGACAGAGTGAGACTCCGACTCAAAAAAAAGATCTGGACAATGAAAACCAATGAGACTGCCCAATATCCTACAAGCCAAGGGAGCCTGGCAAGTTCAGGGAAGATACATAAAATGACAGGAGACTTCAAAATATTCCTGTATCACAACTTGGATGGATTTAGAGTCTATAATATTCTGATCTATCACAGAAATAAAGAACTGAGTACCACATGTTCTCACTCATAAGCAGACCCTGAACATTAACCATAAATACTGTAAGAAAAGGATTGGTAACAGCCAGAAAATGCCAAAGGAGTGGGGGAGCACATAACATCAGTAAGGGTACCTGATTTCAGACCAGGCAAAGTGTGGACCAAAGGGAAGCCCAAACCTTAAAATGACCACTTGTATACCTAATCCTGAATTGTACCCCACATGTTTAAAATAAATTTTAAAAAATATTCCTACATCAGAGTCATGCCTAATACAGAATATGAAAAAAAAACTTTCAGACATCATTCAAAAGTAGGTTATCAAATGTGGATAATTATTGAAGCTGAGTAACAGCTATTTAGACATTCAAACTATTCCTTTTGTATATATTTGAAAATTTCTTAAAGTTATGTTATTATGAATCAAGAAATGATCCATTTGTGCATGTAAATTTTTTTAATTGAAAAAAGGACAGGGCTAGGTGTGTGGCTCACACCTGTAATTCTAGCACTTTGGGAAGCCAAGGCAGGAGGATCACTTGAGGCTAGGAGGAGTTCAAGAACATTTTGGGCAAATAGTGAGATACCATCATTACTTAAAAAAAAGAAAAAGAAACAGAAAAGAAAAAAGGAAGTGTGGGTCTGGATTTCTTAACATTCAGAAATAGCTTCCTGGAGGCCAGAGTCAGCAAAATTTTGTTCAAGCTAATTAAAAGGAAAGTGTTTGGCCTGGTACGGTGGCTCACATCTATAATCCTAGAGGTGGGAGGTGGAGGCGAGA